TTTAATAAAGTTTTCACTCACATTTTCTATTTTCCAATTGCCCATAATTCACTCTGTTTGCTCCAAAAAAATTGCTTAAACTACTGTTGTCAAATGCTTTTGGGAGTTCTGCATTTTCCAGCAATAAAAACAACTTGTTGCTGTGTATCACTTTAAGTTGAATTGCTTAGTTCAAGTTGACAAAAGGTGCTAAGTGGCATATTTAGAGACGTTTTGGAAAAAACGCCTTCATCAAGCACAAATGAAGCATTAACCAAGAATTATTTCACAACAATACTTTATGCAAAATTTGGGGGAAGCACAGTGCATTATGGGAAAATGGAAATAGAAAGTGTGCTTTCAAACAAGCTAAATTCTTGTCTTTTTATTGTGAAACTTTGTTTGCAATTTGTAGGTTATAATCTTGTTTTTGACCGTCACCCTGAAACAAGAACGGTTTGCAAAGTTTCGGCTTTCTTGTCACAGTTCAAAGAACACTTTTAAGGAGCTTTAGTTAGCTTAAGCACAGACAGAGACCGACAATACAATACAGTACTGGTTTATTCATGAGGAATAGACCATGATGAATAAACCAGTATTGTATTGTATTTCCAGCTGAAAATCGAATTTTCTTCTTTTGGCGCGTATGATCGGCTTTTCGTTAAGCTTATCAAGTCATAAATGGTACAATGGCAGTTTCGAAACTCAGTGAAGTGGGAAAGAAAACTTGCCAAAAGCAAGAACGTAAACTTCCTGTTTGCGTCTGTTCCTCCCTCACAATCGTCTGTCATTAACAACAATGCCAGGGTAATTTTGTGTGGTCGAAACTGAATGATGAATTTAAAAGAATGTATTGAACCAGAAATTTCGCTACATCATAAATTGCTGAGAATTTTGTATCCTTTCCTTATAAATTTAACAAATACGATTCGAAGTTTCCTATGGCGCAAGAAAGAGAGAGAAATATGCCATTTCTAATGTAATTGATGTATTTGCTGATGTTGCACTCAGTGTATGACGTCATGCCGTGTTACTTTCGGTCTCAATATATTTCGAAGGAACGCTTTGGAAAGGCTTCCCTTGCTGTACTAACACATACACGCTGCATTTCGCTTGTCCCGTCAAACAAGGTAAATACTATTACCTTTATCATATCATGTTTTATTTGCAATTTGTAGATTGTAATTTTGTTTTGTTGTACTCGATGCAAGTCTAAGGTCAACGCCAAACTTTAGGCGAAAATGTTTTGGTGAAATAAAGATCTTTTCACGTAACGTCATCAGTTTCTAAAATCCAAAACTAAAGAGTCACCGAAGTTTTTGTCCTCATCAGGCATCAGAGGCGGTAAATTAAGATCTGTTGACAGTTTTACAGCTCAATCGTGTGCTTTGTTTGGAAACCAGCGCATTTTGAATTTCAGAGTTATGGCGATGCGTCACAAAGCTACGATCTCGACGAGTGTCGAAAAGTGTATACTTCTCTCATGATTTTTAGCCTTTTTAGAAGTTAGAGTAGTAGGAAAAGTGCTCATCTAAAAGCTTATTTGTTCAGTACAGATGATCATTCGCCTAGAGAGCCAAAGTAAGCTCCAGATGGTTACATTATTTTCCGGCCGCCCTATTGGTGTACTACGGAGGCCTAGTACACACTAACATAGCGTTTCCATACTGGGCTCTGTAAATTTTGGCGAAACATTTCGACGAATATTTGAAGTTTGGGAAAACGCAGAGACCTAAAACTTGGAGAAATGCTGTCTTTATTACTTTACTTATTAATTTCGGATAATGTTGAAACATTTTGAAATAGATGTTGAAGTAGGTGTTCCCTTGTGCTGATCACGATTGTGTCTTGTTGTTAGGCATCCTTATCTTCTTTGAAGAATGGCATCCAGCACTCAGCACCTGATTTTCATCTACCTCTTAGTCTGTGGTATGCTGTCCGTTGGATTTGAATTCAAGTATCTGAAATATTGCGGTGAGAATCAGTTATTGTCATGGTCAGTTATAATCAGACAAGGTCATCAAAATAAACAAAATTAAGTTAAAAAAATTAATTAATTAATCTATTAATTAAAAATTAGGTAATTAAAAACGTAGATGCAAAGAGTACCCGACTGTTGATGCGTGACCTCACGCACACTAGAAGCACATGACAAAGCCTTTTTAAAGATACGCTGAAGTCTGAATAATGATCAACCCTAGCAAAAAAATTCATTTTTGCCCCAAAATCACTGAAAGGGATAATTTTAGGATTCGGCGCATGTGCAAGCTATGATGTATCTCACCCAGATCCATTGTTTGGAAGACAATCAGATGCAAGTAGATAACTTGTGCGACCGGCTGGTCCAGAATTAAACCGTCGGGCCAGATAATCAATTTGTACAGCATCCATGAAATTGGGCATTCGTCATTCTTCTACCTTAAGTGTAGC